CCAACCCTTGAGCTTGAGTGCTTGGCTTGTGAACATAGCGGGCATTCCTATCGCTAAACCCCAAAACCCCAACCCCAAACCCTAAACCCCCAGCCCTAAAACCCTACACCCTAAACCCTAAACACCTGAACACCAACCTAAGCCCTAAGCCTAAACCCCAACCCTAATCACTAACCACTAAACCCTGGAGGGCATGTCCCAACCCTCCCTGGAATGCCCCCCTTCCCCTCGAGGAATGCCCTTAAAGCCTGGTTTTAGGTTAGGGTTTTTAATGGTTCTGTTCAGGTTTAGGTTTAGGGTCTAGTGGCCCTCTCAAACCCAGTTGTACAAGATAAAATCTCTCAGGGTCCTTTGTGCGGAACCTGGGTCCGGGGTCGCTTGTTTAACGGTTCCCTCGTTGGGGCTCCCTAGCAACTTGTGGCCTTCCACAATGTAGAAAGCTAGATCCGAAACTCTAAACCCTAAAACCCTAACCCTAAGCCTAAGCCCAGAGCCCTAAGCCCTAAACCCCACTTAGGGAACGTCAATTGGTGAGTCCGTAGTCTGGGGGTGGTAGCGCAGGCCCCACTGCAGCTTGTCGTCAGTACTATAGGTTCTCTGATGTTGTGAAACCATGGGGGCTCCTTATATGGTCATTTTGGTGTTTAGGATTTTAGGGTTTTAGGGTTAAGGGTTGAGGGTTGTCGGGTTTAGGGTTATTTTAGGTTTAGGTTTAGGTTGTTTGCTTGTAGGGGATCCGAAGCATGGGGCTCTGTTCTGATAGTACAGCTGTATACAAGGGTTCTATGTACGCAAACTTAGGGCCCAGACTTCGAACCCTAAACCCTAAACCCTAAACCCTAAATCCTAAACCCTAAACCCTAAACCCCCTGGAGGTTTCGAGGCTTCCATGGGAGGAACCCGGCACCCTCAACCTTCGCTCTGAGAGGCGCAGGCTTTACCCGTGAAGTAACCCCAAAGGCCCCCCCTTTTAGGGTTTAGGGTTTAGGGTTTAGGGTTTGAGGGTTTTCGGCTCGGACGGCTCGGTGGCGGGCCTCTTTGGCAAAGGCGTAGTTCCCCTGCTGACGGAAGGCCTCTCAAACCCTATAAGTTTAGGGCTTATAGGGTTCAGGGTTTAGGCTCCTAAACCCTAGATCCCTTTGCGTTTGCGCTACAAGCGCTTTGATGTCTAGACTTTGGGCGCTGGCAGGACTGGAGTCCTGCGTGGACCCCCGGTATGTAGCTCCATTCCCTGGGTGTCGAACCTGACCCTAAACCCCTAGACAAGAACTTGGGCAACGCAACTTTCTGGCTAAGCTAACAGAACACACAAAGCACCTTATAGGCAATCCGAGAAAGGAACGCCCTCGAAACTCTAAACCCTAAACCCTAAACCCTAAACCCTAAACCCTAAACCGTAACCCAAAGCGCATCTAAGTAGGGTCGACCCTTGGGTTCCCCCCCTCTTTGAGCTTGGAAAGGCTCGGGGCTTAGGCGTCACACCTTTGCATTAGGGTTTATAGGGTTTAAGGGAATAGGGTTTATAGGTTTAAGGGAATAGGATTTATAGGTTTAAGGGAATAGGGTTTATAGGGTTTAAGGGGCTATAGGGTTTAGGGCAACTGCAGCGGGGGTTCTCTGGACGTTTTTTTTGTTTTTGTTTTTCTCTCCGCAGGGCTTGAGCCATTTCCACTAGGGCCCCAAGCAAAGTTGAATCCCCCAAGGAGCCCTTTTAAGCCATCTAAGCCCTCTTTTCTCAACGCCTGAATACCCAAAAGCCTAAACCTTAAGCGCTAAACATCGCTAAGCCTCAAACTCTGTACCCAAGACTCCATGAGCCCTGAGCACGAAGCTGTCCTTTTAGGGTTTGGGGTTTAGGGTTTAGGGTTCCCAACACCCCGAAACCCTGCAAACCCTACAAAACCCCACACCCTAACTAAGCCCCAATTTAAAAAACCTTGTAAGCCTTAAACCCCTAAACCCCATTGAAGCCCCAAACCATCCAAACCCTCCACCTACGTGCACTATGCAAACCCTTTACTAAACTCCAACCGTAAACTAAACTCCAAACCCTAAACCCAAAACCTCAAACCCTAACCCACCCCCCCCCACCCCCCCGAAAAAAAAAATCAGCTTTCGGAGGAGGTTTACCCCTGGTTACCCCACACCGTCGGAGCCAAGGACCTTTTTTGTTCTCCCCCGCGTGCGCCGCAGGAGGAGCTCGGGAGGGCTGAAGAGCGGTTTGGAGTTTAGGGATTAGGGTGCGGGGAGTTTAGGGTTTAGGGTTTGGGGTTGAAGGGGTTTAGGATGGGGTTTAGGGTTTGGGGTTGAAGGGGTTTAGGGATTAGGGTGCGGGGAGTTTAGGGTTTAGGGGGGTTTGGGGGGTTTGGGGGTTTGGGGGTTTGGAGGGTTTGGGGGGTTTAGGGTTTGGGGTTCGGGTTTAGGGTTTGTTTTGGGGGGAGAGACAGCGTTGAATGTACTTGGGGTAGGGTGGTTAGGCTGCCTTGGGGTTTAGGGAGAGGGTTTCGGGCACAAGGGGTTTTTGATTTGTGTTTGGAGTGTTTGGAGGGGATGTACAAGGTAGCTACATCCCGGATTTCCTGGCAAGGAATCGAGGGTTCTAGGGTTTTGGGGGTACAGGGGGTTGGGAATTGAAGGTTTAGGGTTCGGGGTTGACAGCGTGAGGTTTTAGAGCGCCGACTGCGCCCTACACCCCCTGTGTCTTGAGGCTTCGGAAATTCATACGTTGCCTACCTTTCCGCATCTGCTACCTACAACTCACTCTACATTCCAACACGAGAGCCTTCGACATACCAGTGGGGGGGGGGGGGTATGTCTATTTGCTGAGCCCAAACCGCATCTTGTGAGACGCCACCATGTCAAGGAAAGAGATACCTGCAGCCTTGCTGTAGGCAGTTCCCGATTCCCGTAAAGGCCGCTGCCAGTTCACGGTTTAGAGCACGGGGTTTAGAGCCTTTTTTCTGTGCAACCCAACCCCGCCCCCCCAAAAAAAAACAAAAATAAAAAACAATAACAATAACAAATAATAATAAGAAGAAGAACAATAATAGTGATAATATTGAAGTTAAAAAACAAGCCCCTAAACCCCTCCAATAGCTTAGTACCCTCTAAGCCACTAAAGCCACAATACCCAAAAACCTGAAGCGTATGTTTATGTGTCTGTGTCTGCGGGTCTCTCTCTCTCTCTCTCTCTGTGTGTGTGTGTGTGTCTCTGTGTGTGTCTGTGTGTGTCTGTGTGCGTGTCTGTGTGTGACTCTCTGTGTGTGTGTGTCTCTGTGTCTCTGTGTCTCTGTGTCTCTGTGTCTCTGTGTCTCTGTGTCTCTGTGTCTCTGTGTCTCTGTGTCTCTGTGTCTCTGTGTCTCTGTGTCTCTGTGTCTCTGGGTCTCTGTGTCTCTGTGTCTCTGTGTCTCTGTGTCTCTGTGTCTCTGTGTCTCTGTGTCTCTGTGTCTCTGTGTCTCTGTGTCTCTGTGTCTCTGTGTCTCTGTGTCTCTAGTGTCTCTGTGTCTCTGTGTCTCTGTGTCTCTGTGTCTCTGTGTCTCTGTGTCTCTGTGTCTCTGTGTCTCTGTGTCTCTGTGTCTCTGTGTCTCTGTGTCTCTGTGTCTCTGTGTCTCTGTGTCTCTGTGTCTCTGTGTCTCTGTGTCTCTGTGTCTCTGTGTCTCTGTGTCTCTGTGTCTCTGTGTCTCTGTGTCTCTGTGTCTCTGTGTCTCTGTGTCTCTGTGTCTCTGTGTCTCTGTGTCTCTGTGTCTCTGTGTGTCTGTGTCTGTGTCGTGTGTCTGTGTCTGGTCTGTGTCTGTGTCTTGTCTGGCTGTGTCTGTGTCTGTTCTGTGTCTGTGTCTGTGTCTGTGTCTGTGTTGTGTCTGTGTCTGTGTTGGGTCTGTGTCTGTGTCTGTGTCTGTGTCTGTGTCTGTGTCTGTGTCTGTGTCTGTGTCTGTGTCTGTGTCTGTGTCTGTGTGTGTGTGTGTGTGTGTGTGCGTGCGTGCGTGCGTGCGTGTCTCTGTGTGTGCGTGTCTCTGTGTGTGCGTGTCTCTGTGTGTGCGTGTCTCTGTGTGTGCGTGTCTCTGTGTGTGCGTGCGTGTCTCTGTGTGTGCGTGTGTGCGTGTCTCTGTGTGTGTGTGTGTGTCTCTGTCTGTGTGTGTGTGTGTGTGTGTGTGTCTCTGTGTGTCTGTGTCTGTGTCTGTGTGTGTGTGTGTGTGTGTGTGTGCGTGCGTGCGTGCGTGCGTGTCTCTGTGTGTGCGTGTCTCTGTGTGTGCGTGTCTCTGTGTGTGCGTGTCTCTGTGTGTGCGTGTCTCTGTGTGTGCGTGCGTGTCTCTGTGTGTGCGTGTGTGCGTGTCTCTGTGTGTGTGTGTGTGTCTCTGTCTGTGTGTGTGTGTGTGTGTGTGTGTCTCTGTGTGTGTGTCTGTGTGTGTGTGTGTGTCTCTGTGTGTGTCTCTGTGTGTGTGTGTGTGTGTGTGTGTGTGGGTGGGTGGGTGGGTGGGTGTGTGTGGGTGTGTGTGTCTCTGTGCGTGTGTCTGCGTGCGTCTCTGGGGGTGTGGGTCTTGTGTCTCTGTCACGGTTGGTGTGTGGGTTCCGGCTTTGTCGTGTGTTGAGGGCTAACCAAGGCTGTGATTGCCTCATGCTGTCTCTGGTGTCAGGGTTTATGAACTGGCAGCAAACGAAGGCACCGCGAGATTTCACGGCGCAAAGCATTAACTGCAAACTCCGCGAAGCAGATCTGGAAATCTTGCGGGAGACAGGGGTCGGGACTTAGCCCTAAGTTTGATTTTTTAATGGCGAGCATCCTCAACAAGACCCCATGCCCTCACCAAAAATTCCCAGGAGCCCTTGCTACACTCGCCAAAAACCATCACGGAAATCCTAGCCCGAAACCCCAAACCCCAAACCCACCAAAACTCAGAATCAAAAAGCCACTTCACACCACTTCACACCCATTCCCGGTATGCCCCGATGTACTGTGATCCATCTGATGGCAACCCCCGCAACGCAGTACAACCGGCCATCGGTCATCCGGCGCGCTTCCCGCGAAGATGGACTTCAGCGCGGCGGTTGCACGCGCGATTCGCCAGAGAAAGAGGGTGGTCGGACCTCACCAGCTCGATAGGGCTTGCAAGGTTTAAGGCTCGGGGTTTTAGGGTTGGGTTGCTGTGGGGCCTAGTTCTACCTAAACTAGGCCCCCTAGGCCCCCACCCTCCATTCTAGTGGTAGCTACATGGCCCCTGAATCTGGGCCCTCAAAAAGGGACCCCTTAAAAACGCTATACCACCCGAGTGCTCATACTTCAGAACCCTTTAGAGGAGGGTTTAGGGTTTAGGGTTTAGGGACCATATTAAGGGCCCATGAAACTACCCTCAGATGCATAAGGCTCTTTGGCTCTAAGGGTTTAGGGTTTAGGGTTTCGGGTTTAGGGTTTTAGGGTTTAGTGTTTTGGGGTTTTAGGGACAGGCATGCTCAGCTTGGGGCCCACCCTCTCTCATCTTTGTGGCCCTATGTACGATAACCTGAAAAACTTTAACCCAAAGAGCCCACTACCCCTTAATTCAGGAATGTGCCTGAATTTATATAGGGATCCTTATTTTGATTAAAGGTACTTAGTACTTTCCTTCATTAAGGGGTACTGGGCCCTTTGCGAAACCTGTAGCAAGGAAGTCTAACAAAGGGATCGGAATAATTACTGATAGTATTCCCTTACGGTCCCTTTGTAATTAAGCGATAATAACCCCCAAATCCCTTTTCTGACTAGTCAGGCCCCTAACCCTAAACCCTAAACCCTTGAGGGCCCCTATAGTATCACATCCTGGGTGCCCGGCCCCAGCCCCTGCACTCGCAGCTTCGAAGAAGGGACGCCCAGGTGTGTGAGGGCATCCTGTGGGCTAGGGTTTAGGGTTTAGGGTTTAGGGTTTAGGGTTTAGGGTTTAGGGTTTAGGGTTTAGGGTTTAGGGTTTAGGGTTTAACGTTTAGGGTTTAAGGTTTAGGGTTTAGGGTTTAGGGTTTAGGGTTTGAGGTTGGGCGTTTGGGGTTTGGGGCTTAGGGTTACCAAACCCCTAAAGACCTCAAGCCCCAAAACTCTATGAAGCCAGCAGTCGAGAGCCCTATCAGCTTGAATCAGAACAGTCATAATACATGGTACAGAACAGTGTTCGCTTAGAATGGCTTCAACCCTCAAAGCAACATTTCCTAGGTGATTGGGGCATGAAGACAGATGTACATATTTGCATACTTCTTGGGAATTGGAGTATACACGTATGGCTGTTGTATTTTGTTGGGCTTAGGTTAGGGTTCAGGGTTCAGGGTTCAGGGTTCAGGGTTCAGGGTTCAGGGTTCAGGGTTCAGGGTTCAGGGTTCAGGGTTCAGGGTTTAGGGTTTAGGGTTTAGGGTTTAGGGTTTAGGTTACGGGTTAAGGGTTGAGGGATAACGGTTAAGGGTGAAGGGTTTAGGGTTTAGGGCTTAGGGTTTAGGGTTACAACTACGAGTACCTCCACGACGACTTCTCCTCCTACTTGGAGGTTCATGGAACTTATCCAATTATAGCCCTATTAGGTACTTAAGGGGCTTATATGCGGGATATCACTACACTAGTAATGGGTTACTAAGAACCCTGAACCTCTAAGTACTCTTTGCTTAAGAAGACCCTGCAACTCAAGGGTGGGTTTGGGTTTAGGGTTTAGGGTTTGGGGTTTAGGGTGTTTTAGGGTTCTGGGGTTTTAGGGTTCTGTGCTCCTACTGCTCCCCTTGTGTTGGTTTGTCCGTGCAACACCCTCAGAAGTCGGCTGTGAGCAGGCAAGAGTTTGGACTGGCTCGTACTTTTAGGGCTGTGTCCGTATATCAGCCCCTGTTAGACCTGGAAAAAAGCAGAGAGCCCGCATTTTGCCGGATTTCAGGACACCGCTGGGGAGGGTCCTGGATTTTGGTTTAGGGCACACTTTGGTTCAAAGGCCGTACGCCTCGTGGTTGCCTGCCTGGGGGGGGGGGGTGTTCTCGAAGCTTTGGCGTGGGCTTCGGCGACAGCCTCGTCACTGGAGGTTTCGCCACTTTCGCCGAGGTCGCGAGGAGGCAGATTGTACTTGCCCCTTTCTTGGGCTTTCGTACTCAGGTACCTTCTAATAAGGACCCCAAGAGAGTCCGGATGTTCGAGAACCCTAAGCCCTAAAACGCTAAACCCCTAAACCCTAAAACCCTAAACCCCTAAACCCGAAAATCTTAAAACCCAGAAACCCTAAAACCCTAAGCCCAAAACCTGAATCCCTATAAACCTCTGAAGCCCGAAAACTCTTAAAACCCTAAAAACCGTAAACCCTAGATTAGAACCCTAAGCCCTAAAACCCTTAACCCGAAAACTCTAAAGCCCTAAACCCGAAAACCTAAAACCCTAAGCCCTAAAACCACCAAAAACCCCCAAAAAACCCTAAAAACTCTAAAGCCCTAAAACCCGAAAACTCTAAAACCCCTAAACCCCTAAATCCCCTCGAGAACCCACATGTTGCCAGGGCCCCGTGCTCGGACTGCGCTGGCGCGGGAGAGCGACAGCTGCGGAGCCTGTGGCACCCCAAAGCTTGTAGGGGTTTTAGGACTTTAGTCATTCTGGGGTTCTTGGGCTTTAGGGTCTTTAGGTTGTTTAGGGTTTTTGGGCTTTAGGGCCGGCTGTTAGGGTTTTTAGGGCTTTTAGGATTCTTAGGGCTTTAGGGTGTTAGGGTTTTTGAGGGCTTTAGGGTTTTCAGGGTTTTTGGGGGGTGTTTAGGATTTTGGGGATTTAGGGTCTTTAGGGTTGTAGGGTTTGGGGTAGAAGGGCTTTTAGGATCCTGGGGCTTTAGGGCTTTTGGGGCTTTAGGGCTTTTAGGTTTCTTGGGCTTTGGGTTTTTAGGGTTTTTGGGGGGGGCTTTAGGGTTTCTAGGGTCTTAGGGCTTTAGGGTGTTTAGGGTTTGGGGGGTTTTAGGGTGTTAGGTTTTTGGGGGCTTTAGGGGTTTTTAGGGTTTAGGGATGTAGGGCTTTAGGATTTTCGGGCATCATGCGCTAGGGTCAGGGTTCCGGGTTCAGGGGATCCCGATGCCCGATACCCCTTCTGTAAGGCATTTGCTGCGATAGTGGGCCCCCGTGGCACCGGCAGCCATTATTTATGTCGAGGGCTTGGGGCCTTCAGCCTCCAAATGTGGCTACCCTAAACCCTAAACCCTAAACCCTAAACCCTAGACCCTAAACCCGGAACCATGCACGTTTAGCTTTGGGGTTCTAGCTGCAAGCCTAAGCCCGAATAATTAGCAGGTTTCAGCTCCCCGAAACAGGGTATAACCCCCAACAAGGTAGAAGCGCGCTGCACAGCCTTAAGCCCCTAAACCAAGTTTGGACCCAGCCCGACAGAAAACACACAAAACCTAAGGGGTTTAGGGTTTAGGGTTTACGGTCTAGGGTCTAGGGTTTAGGGTTTAGAACCCCTGAACTCCTGAACCGAACCCCTGAAACGGCAGTCTGGTACCCGGCCTGAGGCTCGAGACGGTCCGAATGGCCTTCGATCACCACCTGGCGTACACGGCAGCTACTGGCTCAGGGTTCTAGGACAGGTCAAGGTTTAGGATTTAGGGCCTAGGGCTTAGGGCTTAGGGCTTAGGGTTTAGGGTTTAGGGCCTATAGGGCTTAGGGTTTAGGGACTAGCCCTTAGCCCTGAAGCCCAAACCCGAAAACCGTGGGTCCCAGCGCCTCCGGGAAGGTCTTGTCGGCCTTGAGCCACTCCGCCATCACCTCGATAATGGAGGCCTCGTCCAAAACCCTCTAAGACCCTATATCCTGTCGGGTTGAGGGTTTAGGGTTTTAGGGTTTTAGGGTTTTAGGGTTTTAGGGTTTTAGGGTTTTAGGGTTTTGGGGTTTTAGGGTTTTAGGGTTTTAGGGTTAGGGTTTAGAGTTTCGGCTTTAGGGTTCTGGGTTTACGGTTTAGGGTTTAAGTGTTGAGCTCTAAACCCTAAACTCTAAGTCTACTATGGTCTTGGCTACCTGCAGGCCAGAACTTCAAAACACACGTTCAAGATAACCTTTAGTTTGGACCCAACAGCCCTTAAAGCGTAGTCTCCCTTGGTCCTTTGCTTTGTTGGTGGTGCCCATATACTTGCTAGTAGCATATTGCGAAACGCAATGCTTCCAAGTGTATAGTGCTCGGGATTTTCAATGGAGAATGGAGAACTCACACGCTAGCGGGAAAAGGATGGAAAAGGTGAACAGGCTTGGGGCTCTATAGGGCTCAGACCCTCTCTGAGACCTAAAATCTCACTTTGCGCGAAACCCCAAACATGACCCAAAACCCTGAACCCCAAACGCTGACCCCTAAACCCGAAACCCTGCACACCAAACCCCAAACCCCAAACCCCAAACCCTAAACGCACAGCCCTAAACCCTAAACCCCAACTAAACACACGGCCCTAAACCCCAAACCCCAAACCCCAAACCTCAAACCCTAAACCCTAAACCCTAAACCCCAAACCCCAAACCCCAAACCGCTGAGGGCGTGGCCGCCTCGGCGCCCAGTTTCGCCAGGCGCGCCTCGAAGTAGAGGCCGACCTGCCACTGCTTCATGGGCTTCCCTACTACTCCCCCCAGGGTTTAGGGTTTAGGGTTTAGGGCTACTACCCCTCTCTATACTACCCCCCCTAGGTTCCTCCCTTCAATAACCTTAATTATGCATAATCCGCCGAGGCCTCGGGCCGAAGGTGTATTGGTAGTCAGAACAGGCACCCCCCTCCAAATCCTCCCCCCAGCCCCAAAGCCCTTTTTCGGACCCCTTTTTTTGCCTCAAATGGGTACCCCCCCTAGGTGAGCAGGGTCCGCAAGCGGATGGTTCGCCAGGACCAGAGGCAGTTGCAGCCCTTCCCAGCAGGGCCCCCACCACCGTTCCCCCCCCCCCCCTCCCCCCCTACCCCCCCACCCCCCTCTGCCCCCCCCCCCCCCCCCCCCCCCCAACCCCCCCCCCCCCCCCCCCCCCCCCAACCCTCCCCCTACCCCCCCCCCACCCCCTTTTTGTCCCTCCCCCAAAAGCCACATGAGCGGCTGGGCTCGAGGTGCTAATGGACGCAACAAGAGGGGCTTGATGTTTGTAGGTGTCGCGGCACACCCAATGGTTCATAACCTCGGGGTGTCGCTTTTCAAGTGTTCCCATCGGTTTACAGGGTTTTGGGCATTCGTGCCACCCCTTGCTTAATTGAATGGCTGGGGGTGCTTGCTCACATAAGGTGTTTGTGAAAGGCGGAGTTTTCCTGCTCGGACGCGCTGGCTTGAGGGCCGGAGGCTCAACTGGTGTGAGCACGGCCGCAAATCCGCCGAGGCCTCGGGCCGGAGGTGTATAGGTTGTCAGAACAGGCACCCCCCTCCAAATCCTCAAGCTGCTTCGGACCCCTTTTTTTTGCCTCAAATGGGTACCCCCCCAGGAAACCGGGGTCCGCAAGCGGACGGTTCGCCAGGACCAGAGGCAGTTCAAGCCCCTCCCAGCAGGCGCCCATCCCCCCCCCCCCCCCCCCCCCCCCCCCCCCCCCCCCCCCCCCCCCCCCCCCCCCCCCCCCCCCCCCCCCCCCCCCCCCCCCCCCCCCCCACCACTGCAGTTGGTGAGCGGGTCTGAGCTTAAAGCCTTACATCTTAAACCTGAAGCACTCAACCGCCCCCCTCCCCCCCTACGCCCCTGAGCCGCCTGGCTCAACCCTACGATCAATCCAAGCCGAACCGTCTTGAACCCTACTCCCAAGAAAACCCTAAACCCCAAAGCGTGAACCTTGAGCCCTAAGCCCTCAATCCTAAACTAAACCATAAACCATAAACCCGGAACCCTAAACCCTAAACCCTAAACCCTAAACCCTAAACCCAACCCTTATTGCTTGGGGTCCAGCGACTTGGGCGCTGCGGAATCACCATGCTCACGCGGATGCGCTGGGCCGGGCCGAGGCGGGTCGCGTAGCGTTAAAATTATCCCTAAAGAGCCTTATTTTGGGGGGAGAACCTGGGGAGGGGGGGGGGAGTAGCAGAACCCATGACTACTCTTTGCTTAAGAAGACCCCGCAACACAAGGGTTTAGGGTTTGGGGTTTAGGGTTTAGGGTGTGGGGTTTGGGGCTTATCAAGGGACTAAAGGAGTTTAGGGGAACTTTAGGGGTTGTGTAGGGGCTACTTACGTATTTAGTCCCGATATAGGGGAATAAGATTCAGGGTCCCTTCTAGGGGTCCCTCCTTTTGCCCTTTAGCCAACACAATTCAAAGACAATAATCCCTAGGTTGCCCTATAAGGAAGAGTACTTTTACATGTTGGGGGGTTCTGAGGCAACGGCAGTTCAGTCCCGGGCTTGGGTTTTTGAGGTTTCTGGGGCTTATAGTTAACTTAGGGGTTTAGGGTGTATTGGCTTAGGCATCAGTTTCTATAGGGCTTCGGGCTTGGAAAATTTAGGGTTTAGGGTTTGGGGTCGTGGGATCTTTGCGTGGGGTTAGCTAGGTTTCGGATCTTAGGGTAGTTGGGTTTTGGGAGCATTTGTGGTGGGGAGACGGTACGTAGACGTAGACCCCTGACCCCTGAATTGTAGGGGCTGCGCAGGGTGTGTATATGTATACATATGTATATACGCCAACTTCCAGCTTGACCAACCGCAAAGGTTTCGGGCTTTGGGTTCACGGGTACTCCTGCCCCGCCCCGCGCCCACCCCCGGCCGAGGAAGGAAGGAACCACAATTCGGAGCTTAATTAAGCTCCACTCAAGGTACGCAGCTCCAGAATTTGCGGGGCGTCGTGTTGCTTGGGCCAGTTTCGATGGCGCCTGGTGGAAGTAACGGCGCATGCGAATCACAAACCTCTTTCCAGCGGCACGTACTCGGGCCCGTATTTCTGGGCCTGAAATCTTCCACTCGAGACGCCCTCCACGCGCTCCAAGCAGCTTCTAAACCCTAAACCCTAAACCCTAAAGCCTAAAGCCTAAACCCTAAACCCTAAACCCCACCTTCACCTCTTTCGGATGCTTGCCACTGCCTTGGCACCCGCAGACAAGGACGGCAGCTTGCGCTGCGCAGGACCTGGTAGAAGCGGCTTTCCCTCACCGCGCTGTCCCCGGTGCGCCATATCTTTTAGGCCGAAACCCCAAACCCGAAACCCCGAACCCAAAACCCTAAACCCTTAACCCTATAAACCCCAAACCCGAAACCCGAAACCCTAAACCCTAAACCCTAAACCCGAAACCCTAAACCCTAAACCCTAAACCCTAAACCCATGCAGCCCAGGGGCAGGGGCTCGGGCAGCGGCAGCCTCAGCGGCGATAGGCCCGTAAAGAGGCACCAGCCTGGGACAGGGCGGTGGGGTTTAGGGTTTAGGGTTTAGGGTTTAGGGTTTAGGGTTTAGGGTTTAGGGTTTAGGGTTTAGGGTTTAGGGTTTAGGGTTTAGGGTTTAGGGTTGGGGTTTAGGGTTTGGGTTTAGGGTTTAGGGTTCAGGGTTTAGGGTTCAGGGTTCAGGGTTCAGGGTTCAGGGTTCAGGGTTTAGGGTTTAGGGTTTAGGGTTTATAGGGTTTGGGGTGCTTAGTTCAAGGTTGCCCTAAACCAACCCAAGGCTCAGGGTTTGGGGCTCAGGGTTTGGGGCTCAGGGTTTTGAAGTTTGTTAGGGAGTTTTAAGGTTTGTTGTTTTGTCCGGGTGCGCAAGCTTGCGTTTAATGTGTGTGTGAGAGAGAGTGTGAGTGTGTTGATGCGTTGGGACAGGAGGGGGGAAGGGTAACTAGGTTGTTGAACGTCGTTGGAGGTGTTTGGGTTTTGTGCCGTTCTGGGTTGGCAGTTTCATGGTGCCGGGGCATCTGGAGGAGAGGAGGGTGTCCATAGGCATCTGGCGGGAAGTTCCAAATCCGGGCCCAAATGCCAAGACGCTTGAAGAACCATGCAGTTCTCAACCCTAATCCCTGAACCCCCGCCTTCGCAGACTGTATAGGGAACCAGATTCCCGAACCCCAAGTAGGATCTTCATTGCTCGTATGCCCCCAGAGGACACCTTGATAGGAACCCTCTGCACCCTCTCCAGTAACAGTCATGAAACCCTTCTTCGACTCTCGAATGCCGTGAATCTTATTCAGATCTGGATTGGCTGTTCATGCTTCTGCTAAACTGATGTCTTCTATGTTTTAGTAGGGCGTTTCGGGCCAAAAAACTCCGAATAAGAGTCCCAAGCACTCCGAACGGAAGTGACCGGGCTGGGGGTTTGGTCTTCTAAACGCTAAAGCCTAAACCCTAAACCCTCAACCCTAAACCCTATAAGCCCTAAACCATATAAACCCTAAACCCTAGACACGAAACCCTAAACCCTAAACCCTAAACCCTAAACCCCAACTACCATCAGAAAACATCGCATGGGCTTGGGTCCAAGTCGCTCGTGGAGGGGCATGGCCACCACCATGCGTGCCCCAGCGCCATCGTTGAACTGCGGATGAGGGTTTCAGGTTGGAGGCTTAGGTGATTTTGGCTTGGGGTTTAGGGTTTTGGGTTTTGGGCTTAGGGTTAGGGTGTAGGGAAAGTTTAGGGTTTAGGATTTAGGGCTAGGGTTTAGGGTTCCGAAACCCTCGGTGTCGGTTTAGGGTTTAGTGTGATCGTACCTCTTGCAGTAGGCCCCGACCGAGCCCTCGGCAAAACACTTGAGTATCTTACGCTTGTATGAAGATCAATGCTAAAGCAAGCAACTCAAAGCGGTGAAGGTATATGGAGTGTTCTGTCTATCTGTCTATCTATCTGTCATATCTACATGTCAAATGTAGACATATGTAAATGGTTTTAGCAGATACTGTTGGTGAGACAGCAGAGTCATTCTCTACATACAGTTCAGACACAAGGAATAAAAGGATGTGGCTGTACACACGGGCCTGAACACTTCTTCAACTAAACGGGTATAATACGACTATGTGCAGAAACCAAAACCTGCATGAATTCAAAGGGCATCCCTCAAGCGATTGCGAGCATAAAGGTCGTGGGTGCCACAAAACTTAAAAGGTACCCAGCATTCAACGTGCTCTGCAAGAACGATACATAATCGAGCCTGGTTGGCCGAACAGCAAGACTGAAAGGCCACAGCCCTGAAACTTAGCTTTGGAGTAGACCCTGAAAAAAAAAGTATATACTTTTTAGGTATAAGTAGCTAGAATAGGAACCCAGAACCAAAAAAAGTATTAAAGTATAGTACTCCAAGACCCAGGAAATTTGTCAAAAACAACAGGAAAACGTCGGAAGCCCTGCACAAACCTAGTGCCGTCCTGAAGTTTTTCTAAGCCCAAAACAGGTCTCTATCAACCCCCACGCCCTACGCCCTACACCCTACACCCTACACCCTAAACCCTAAACCCTAAACCCTAAACCCTAAACCCTAAACCCTAAATGACCAGACCCAAGAGCCACCCAGGACTCAAAAGGGTGCCCTTTTTTGGTTTGGAGGGGCTTCTGAGGGAGCCCAAACCCGAACCAGAAGGCAAGAAGGGCCTAGTCTGGGTCCTAGCAACCCTAAACCCTAAACCCTAAACTCCTAAACCCTAAACTCCCAAACCCTAAACCCTAAACCCTGCAGTCCCTGAGCAGAAAACTGCAAAGCCTGAAGCCCAAACCCTGAATCTGCTGCCTGACATCCTCGCCCCACCACCCTGAGGAGCCCTGTCCGGGTGCTTCTGGTGGTTTAGGCTTTCGGTTTGGGGTTTGAGGTTCTGGTTTGAGTTTACGGTTCAGGGTTCAGGGCTTCGGACTCTGCGACTTTGAAGATGTACCTGCAAAGCCAGTGGCCTTAACATCTTGGGGTACATGACACGGGTCAGCAGGCAGCTTCACCATCATCAAGTATCTAGCCAACAGCCATCCCTCGACTTTTCACTCTCGAAACCAGCCGATTTTCTCAAGAACCGCTGCCAGTCGCAGCGACAATTAGGAGATGGGATTAGGGGGACCCTTGGGGATAAAGACCCTCTGCATAAGGCCCCTGTTTATGTGAGCCGGGGTTCAGAAGGGGTTCCCCCTTTAAGGGTCCCCCTTATCCTACCTAGGAACAATGTTTCAGGAACCAACGCTGTTCTGGATGCCAAGTGGTTTACGAAAATGCGGGATCCCGAAGATAGACCCCCCAAATGGTAGGATTCCCTTATAACCCGGACCCCAAATAACGCACCCCCAAATATCGGAAACACCCAGAGAGCCGCTAGTGTCTTGGGTTCAAGGTTTCGGACTAGGGTTTAGGGTCTCGGGCCTCGCTTCAGCGTCTTCGCAGCAGCTGAAGTCTTCATAGAAGCTAAGGCCAATGCTTCGGCCACAACTTCAAATAGGGATTCGGGTTTTTTGGGGTTTTGGGTTTCGGGTTTAGGGTTAGGGGTTCGCGAACACGCCATGCTGACATTTGGCACCATTGGTGGGACAGGAGTATACCGCAGAAAGCACGCAGCGAGTCTACGTAAACAACCGATTCAAGACCTAGCCTATACCCTAAGCAGTAAGCCCCAAGCCGCAAGCCCGAAGGCCAAAGCCCTCAACCCTACCCCTCCCCGGACGGATGCCTACGGAGATGCCGTTGTCTTTGAGCTCCTGATCGCAACATTGGGGTCTGGGCCCTCCAGTTAGTCTGGATTTTAGGGTTTAGGGTTTAGGGCCTCTAAGGTTTAGGGTTTAGGGTGTTACCTAAGGTTTAGGATTTAGGGCTTACAGAGTTTTACGGCTCAGGGCTGATTAGGGTTTCTGGTTTGGGGTCTGCTCTGTCAACGAAGGTGTGCGGTACATGTCGGGTTCGGGGATGTACCTGCCCAAAAATCTAACCACCCTAGCTCTTAAGATCGGTGAAACTACACAGTGCACCCTAAATCCTCTTCACGCAGTAGGTATGACCTTTGCGTAGCGTGGGGGGCGAAAGGTGAATGCTGAATCAAAGAACCTTCCCAAATTAGGGTTTTAGGGTTTAGGGCTAGGGTTTAGGACGAAACAGAAGCTCGGTCTCCTAGTGTTGGCCCCCACCCGACCCTCTAGTACTTTAGATATAACTGCTTTGGGGGGGGGGGGGGAGGGGAGCAAGTTCTGGGCACCATGAGGGTCACACTCGAGCAGTGGAGGAAAGGATGGATGGAGGGCTGATCAAATTGACGGGCCACACCCGGGCCTCTGTTGATTCTTTGATTCTAGTGCGTACATTCTCTAGGATGGCCCTTAAACCCCTCTGAAAAATATTCCTGAATAAGATCCTCTTAAACCCGCTAAGGGAAAATCCAAAATGTCCCCAGAGCCTACCTAGTTCTTATTCTTGGTAGTTGAAGGCACCAGACAAATTCAGAATTCAGCTGGAGGGTGGCGAATTGGCTGCCCCGAACCCTAAACCCTAATTTCCCAAACACCTTATACCTCAAATACCCCTACACCCCAATACCCCTAAACCCCCGTGTTTACAGAGGGCAGTTGGGCCCCTAATTCAGAAAATCCCTAAGCCCGCACCCAAAATCCCAAACCCTAATCCGAGCACCTGTTTAATTAAACCCCCCATATTTAAAGAAATATTTTTTCTCCGGAAGCCCGCCGGAAGACTACTTTCCATTACGGTGGATTTCGTATGGGCATAACCCCCCACATTTAAAGAAATTTTTTTGGGGGGGGGTTCAAAAATCTGTCGGCAGGCTTCTTGTTTTGCTTGCGGAGATGCGGAGCTACAGCACCTCAGGGATCTGCAGCCTATTGTTTTTAATAGAGAATCAATGCAGGGCCATGGTCCAATTATTGCGGAACCCTGCCTTCCTTATTTTGGGGGGGGGGGGGGGGGACCCCTCCCAATTAAACAGGTGCTCGGATTAAACCCTAAACCCTAAACCCTAAACTCTAAACCCTAAACCCTAAACCCTAAACCCTAAACCCTAAACCCTAAACCCTTATCCCCATTCCCGCAATGGGCTCCTGCATGGCTGCCTTGGCGCGCTGCAGGTCCAGGCCTTCGCCTCCGTTAAAGCGGCCGGATTTTTCAGGCTGGAATCTGGGTAGGGTTTAGGGTTTAGGGTTTAGGGTTTAGGGTTTAGGGTTTAGGGTTTAGGGTTTAGGGTTTAGGGTTTAGGGTTTAGGGTTTAGGGTTTAGGGTTTAGGGTTTTGGGTTTAGGGTTTTGGGTTTAGGGTTTAGGGTTCAGGGCTTAGGGTTTAGGGTTCAGGGTTTGGGGTTTAGGGCTTAGGGGGGCTCAGGGCTTCGGGTTTAGGAGTGTGGGAGGGTGAGGGTTGGGGAAATTCCTTGCGCCCAAAACAAGCTCAGCCAGCAGCCATGATTTACTACAGGAGCTACTTGGAGGTTCATGGTACTTATTCACCACTTATTAGTGTACTTATGCCATACTAGGGCACTTGAGGGGCTTGTAAGTGGGTTATAAGTACAGTTATAACTGGTTACTAAGTACCCTGAACCTCCAAGTAAATGAAGAATCCTGGATGTACCTTGAGAAATAGACCCTATACGGCACATGGTCCAACTCTAGGGGTCATTTGGGTGTTTCTGACAATCGGGGTACTTTTGCGGGGCTCCCTTTACGGGGATTCCAATCTATTTAGGGAGAGAAAAAAAGGGGTACGCCCCCCCCCCCCCCCCCCGCCCCCCCCGCCCCCCCCGATATTTTAAAGGGAAACACCCACTTAATCCCCACAATAAGCAAGGTTTACTTCGAACTTAGGGAGGGCAGCAGCTAAATCTGCCCGACTAGTCCCCCTCTGCGAACCCCCACTGCAGAGCCCAGAAAGCCCCATGTGGGGGCTTCCGAAAATACGGGTAAACCCAAAACCCTACACCCTAAACCCTAAACCCTTTTTTGGGTTCCTTCAAAAGGAGTATCTAGTATCTTGGGGAACGCACGGGTGGAGCTAAGCCCTTAAATCCCGAAGCCCTATCAAACTTAAACCCCAACACATCCTCGCCCCTTGGGCCATAAACCCTAAACGCTAAACCCCTAAACCCCAAACCCGAAAGCATCCTCGCCCCTTGGGCCATGGAGCTCTCGTTGGCTTGCCGGTGGCCCTCGAGCGACAGCTTGAGACGCCCATCCCGATGTTCTCGCAGCCTGGGGAGCCGGGGAGTTAAACCCTAAACCCTAAACCCTCAACCCTTAACCCTTAACCCTAAACCCTAAACCCTAAACCCTAGCCCTGAACCCTAAACCCTAATCCTAAACTCTAAAGGGGCTTAGGACTCGAAGGGCGTCAGGATTTGCAGCTTAGAGGGCTTGTGGTTACAGGGCTGTGGGGTTTGGGGTTGTGAGGTTTGGGGCGGCATTTAAGGTTTAGGGTTTGAGGTTGTAGGGCTCGGATTTTGATGGGCAGGCATGCTGAACGGCTTGCTGCTTGCGTGCGCTATCCCTAGCCACAAAACGTCTACCTTTGAGCGTTGAGTTCAATGGTTGATTCGGGGTT